TTCCCTGCTCTATCTATGGCTTAGCATTTGAGATTTTGAATTTATGCGTGGTATTTTCTCTGTCCTTCCCAGATAATGTTCACTTTCAACAATCAGCCCAGATTTCAAAAGCGCTGGTTGATGCACAGGTGGATTTCCAAGCAATGGTACGTGCTAAGATGCTTGCTAGGCATACTGTTTGCATTCTAAACTACAGTGGTACCTCTGGTTATGAACTTAATTCGTTCCAGAGGGCCGTTCCTAACCTGAAACCATTCTTAACCTGAGGTACCACTTTAGCTAATGGGGCCTCCCGCTGCCGCCGCTGCGCAATTTCTGTTCTCATCCTGGGGTAAAGTTCTTAACCCGAGGTACTACTTCCGGGTTAGCGGAGTCTGTAACCCGAAGTGTTTGTAACTCGAGGTACCACTGTATGGGGCAGCATTTACAAAGCGTGTTTTGAACTACTCACCCTGAACTAAAGTGGAATACATGGGGGCACCCATATTCTTCCCCACAATGGAATTTCCTAGAAACAACAAGGCACCATGATGTAGCATTATTAGGGCTCGCCTGAGATATTTTGCCGTTGTAGGCAAAATGCTCCAATGCCAGCCCTGCCTCCCACAGGTCCAGGCCTCCTGCCCCCACTGTTGTACCCATGCTGCCACTGGCCCCACCACTGTAACTGTAGCATCACTTGCAGCTCTGCCTATGCTGCTGCCAGAATGCAGTGGCGAGGATGCAGTGGTGAGGTGGGCCCTGGCAGCAGTGGAGGTAGGGAGGCATCGGATCTGCTGTCTGAAGCAAATGGCTTTGCTTTGTCTCACTGATAGGCCTCCCCTGAGCATTGTTCTCACAAAACGAGGAGGCAAGCTTTTTGTTTTTAAAAGGGGAAATTTTCTTTTGAATTCCCTTCCTCCATTACTGAGTGTTCCTAGCCAACAGTTATTATTTCAAGTTACCAGGAAAAAAACCCAATTTGACATATGGGGACTTTTGTCCTCTTTCTTTCTTTCTTTCTTTCTTTCTTTCTTTCTTTCTTTCGAGGAGGGAACCTGCTACTTTATTTTCAGCCTTCCAGCCTCCTGAGAGTGAGAACTGGCATATCCATTCACTCATAACCAATTAAACTAACTTTTCTTCAAAACATTATGCTAGAACAGTCATGTTAAAACCAACTGGGAAGTCAGATCTGCAAGAAAACAATGTAAACCACATCCTACGGAAGCCAGTGGCAAGGTGACCCATATCCTTAATAATGGGCACAATTTCGTTAAGTTAGACAGACTGGATTTAAGCACGCTTAGCCCAGACACACAGGGCATTTGACTAACTTTAACATTTCAAGTAATTTCACTGTAACCTTGAAAGGAATTTTGCCATTTGGTTTCAGCACCAACAAAAGCATCATCTCTGTTTATCCATCTGAAAGTGGTAGCCTATTTTATGCCGTATTGTGAAATGTATTTTCTGCTCTGATCATAAGGCTTAGGGGTGGGGGTGGGGGTTTGGAAATAGAAGTAAGAGCAGCAGCATCAACAGAAACCTCTTGCAGCGTTGCATAAATTGTGTTTCATACCATATCTTTCTCTCTCCCTCTCCAGTGGTATACAGATAAAGATCATGGCATTGGAGGATTGGCCCATAACCATATCTACACCCATATGACCCACTTCATCAAGCAGTGTTTTGCGCTGTCATAAGACTGGGAAGCCTCTTTGCTTTGCTCACGCTGATAACCGGTTTGTGAAGTTATTTCTGGGGTAGGTGGGAAACAAGAGCACTTTCCTCTTTGTCTTCCATTGAACTTAAGACAGTAAAATTTGATTTCTATGGATACTTGAATGAGATAATCATTTTTGCAATTCCTTTTTACCACAGTCCATTGAATATGAACCAAAGATCTGCAGGTCTCTTGTCACACAAGCAAGAGCTGACCTGACCTCCCCCCACTCCCTTCTCTGTGTCTCAATTAGACAGTGAGGGGAGCAAGAGTTTCCTTGTGCAAAGCTCAGGGCACAAGGCATGTGTGCCAGAACTGTTGGAAGTGCTGTAGTCTCATTGTTTCTTTTTAAGTGACTGTTGCTCTTTTGAATCAGATTAAATTGGATTTACACATTATTTCATTGCAATAGGAGAAGGGGGGGGGAATGCAATACTTGAATTTCTGCTTGATTGTCATACACAGTAACTTTAGCATTAAATGATCATTCCAGCAGATAGGATTTAGGTTTTATATGGAGGACACTGAAAGTGAGAATACTTGTCTGAACCTGAGCTGCAAACCTTTGTGTAAACATTCTGTTGATTTGCAGGAAGGGCAGAAAGCAGATAAAATGTGGATCTGTTTTCAGGATCTCTCTGGCTTTTTTAAAGTCAATAATAGATGCTGGGAAAAGGGTTTTGAAATCCTTTAACTGCTCAGTTTCCCCAGTACTCCCCCCCCTGCCAAGTTTCTGTTAATGTCTTTAAAAGCCAAGGAAGTAGTTTGGAAGTCATATACCCACAAGTAAATATAACAGGGTGTCTGTCTGTGTGTTTCACTATGTCAAGACTGGAATCAGTAATTTCAAAGCTGAAGTATTTGATGGAAACTCAGAACTTTTAAGGCACACAAATAATCTAGAAAAGCTCTAAAGCAAATTCTAGAATCAGACCACCTCATGGTGCTTCTTCCAGAACTTTTCTTTTTATTAAAAAAAAAAACCTCTTAGACATCTTGCCATACTAAGTAGTAGATAAATTTATAAACTGCCATCATTTGGTAACAACCCTCTAAAAATGGAATTGTTGCCAGCTGCTCAGGCTGCCCCTTCTGCATTCAGACCCAGGAGTGGCTCATCTGTTCCTTACACCTCTTTTCTAGTGAATGAAGCCAGATCCCACAAGTTGGCTGTGGCAGAACACTTTTCAGAATCAGGAACAAGTGCTTATTTATAAAGTAGAGCTCCCATCCAATCGTTTTAGGTACCATCAGCATCATTTTTCCAAAGGACCAACTCATTGCAACAAACATGTGATCATACCTATACGTGCCTTAGATTTTGAAAGCACGACTATGCAAGTGATTTTACCAAGAGCAGTATTCTGGGTAGCAATCTTCTTGATAACACCAGGGCTTGAGTTTTGTGAAGCTTCATACCACTATTCGCCAATGTGCCATGGTTTTTCCCCATTTTATATGCAAGGTAAATTGTCGACACAATTCCATGAGTGTGCAGGTCTTAAATGCAATAAAGTCATATTTGTGATATGTGGGACTATTTCTTGTGTGTTTTATTGGAAGTTAGCCGTCAGATATATTAATCACTTATTTGTTAACTTTTCCACTAATTGCGAGATTGCTAACCCAGTAAAATATTACGAACATTCTATAATTGTGACAGTTCCTATTTGTTACTTTAGCAAAGTGTATCACGAGAGCATTATGTTAGCACCAGCTCCACTTGTGGTTGTTAGTGACATTAGGTGTGAATTCAAAACAGGCAAGAATGGGAGGTGAGGGAGCCCTGGCACTGAGAAGAAAAACCAAAGGTCTGGGGAGGCACAGTACAGAAGACAATGCATCCTTATAACATTAAATAAAGCCAACGTTGATGAATTTAACATCTATCTTTTCTTTCTGTCAGTCTATATTAAGGCAAGGATGGGGGAAGATCAGTAGCATATGGTATTTTCTATACTAGCTATATTCCCAGAATAAACTTGCATTTGGATGCCTGGATTTTAAAGAACAAACTGTGGTGAACACAAGGCAGACCCATACCTTTTCCCATTCATGGCTTGCTTTCACTAGATCAGGATAACTGTACTCTTCCTGCACAGTGGGTAAAAAACAGCAAGCATCATAAATATAAGCATGGAGAATAGTTAGGATAAATATTTTATTTCCATGTAACAGCTCTTAAGATGTGAAAAACACAAGTAATTCTATTCACATATACACTTTACTTAAACTTTTGTAATAAATTACATCCAAGAAATTCAGCAGTTGTGACCAGGAAATATGAAATTAAAAGTAAATAGAACACTACCATTTGCATTTTATTATTACTTCTTTGTGTGATTTCAGAATGGAATAGCAAAATTCACACAAAAATACAGAATATGTAAATAATAATTAAAAAAACCAACCTCAAAAATACTGAACGAAAAATGAAGAATGCCATTAAATGCGCTGATTTATTAGTATCAAGGAAACTATTCAGATGAAATTTCTGTATTCAGATGAAATTTCTGATTTTCCTTTGATCAGCAACTTATTAAAAACACCAGCAGTCTCTTTCCAGGAACAAATTGTGTTGCCTTGCTATGCTAGACTCACCTCACCACAACTGGATTGCTACAACTACAGTAACAAAACACTTTATTCTCAATGTAGCTTCTCTAAATTTACACATACAATTGTATTAAACTAAACTTTTGTTTGGGGTGGGGGGGGGAAGTAGCACAATTTGCATCATATGAAATTGGATTATGCTAAGCAGAATCTGATAAGAGAACAAGCTGCGGTCCAAAAATAGCATTAGAAGCAATGCTTTCTGTTATGTCCATCTGATTTAGCCTAATTTTGGCACAAGAGCAGCTGGTGTAATGTTACTGTTTGAAGTAGAAGGCATATGGAGATGGAAAGCCCAGATTCACACTCTGCAGTCATTGAACAATGACAGCTTGTGCAGATGCGTGTGGTGCATTTCTCAGGCCTGGCCCTGCCGAAGATGACCCTCTTCAGTTTTCACTGGTGCTGTGGTTTGCTGCCTGTGCAGATGCTTGCTTGCCCAAGTGTGCACTGACAAACTATAGACCTCTTTCCAGATGCAACACTGCTGTTGTTTGTGCCGCATTAACTCCCCAGGGCTGGTGTTCCATGCAAATCCTGTCTGCTATCTCCACGTGGATGGCAGTTGTCGATGTCCCCTTAACCTTTAGCTCTGCATTTACAGCAGGAATAATGCTATCTGTTCTACCTCGCAGAGACGACTAGGGGAAAAAACTCCATTAGAAAAGTGTACTCTACCAAAGGACCGGGATTATTTTCTTCAGGACTCCCTAGTACTCCCTACAGGTGCCATCCAGGGGACCAGTTTTTGTCATCTGATGAACCAGCGGCAGCTAGCATGGGCTGAAGCATCCCGTAGGTGAACTTGCATGGATCAGATGTGGAGAAATGGGAACCCTACAGATGGTGGGCTGTAAGTCCCACCATCCCAGACCATTTGGCTACACTGCCTGGGGCTGATGGCAGTCTAAGTCTAACACCACCAGGTAAGCAACAAGTTAGGGTTAAAGCCATTTCCAAGTTGCCTTCATAAAACGGAACCATGTCCCATTCGGCTCTGGGAATTTGTTGCATGCTTGTGCACACATGCACACACACACACAAGGCCATGAAATTCACCAACCAGATGAGAGAAAGACACACAGTCTTCTGCACATGTGATTGAGCTCTGGCACATGTGAGCTGCCCATACACTTCGTAGAAGAGCCTGGTTTCACATGTGCAAGAGCTTTGAGTGCCAGTACAAGCTGAACGGGGTCTTCAAGGGAGGCCGATTTTCACTCCCCACTAATCTTGCGCAGAATTCCCTCTATAGTTCTGCTGCTACAAGCTGTGTAGAGCCATGCACATGACTGCAGAACCCAGCTAAGGATTAGGTTAGGCAACTTTGAAGGTACAAAAAGCAGCCTTTCTGAGATCTGCAGCAATTCCCTCGACACAGAAAGCCCAAAGGAATTTGTTCCTGGTATTCGAAAGCACTGGTGCATTTATAAGATCTGATTTTGCATGGAATAACCAATCAGCACCCCTCCAACAAAAACCACAACAAAAACCACAAGCCTGTTAAAAACTGAAGACATATCAAAAAATATCTATAATACTGTCCTGCTTTTATTCCATCTTCTCCCACCCTTGCCTGCAGCCCACTCTACCCTTCTCTCCCAGGGAAGCACAGTGGGATGGCGAGTTACCTAGTTTTATAAAGATGCAGACAGACTGCTCTGCTCTGTCCACATTCTACTCCAGCAGGAGTACCTGTGCACACGGTCATGGGGGCAAGCCAGATCTACAGAGGGGAAGTGTGATTGACTACTCCATTGAAGGCAAGGGATGGGTGCCTTGCTGCCCCATGGCTCTCTGTGTCAATAGCTAAAACTGGCCAAGGGTAGGCTCCACTGAGCCCTACTGGTATCCTTTCCCAGCATATGAAGCTGCATGTGGGAGAGGAGCTGGATCCCGCCCAGGGTTTGATCTTGCTATTTGGCTAATAATACAAATTTAGGACCATAATAAAATCTACAGTCTATTTTTTTTATTTAAAAAAAGTCTTCATTCCAAACATATGGAAATGCATGCCTTTTGTTTAGAAATTTAGCTAAACAACTAACAAAGGCCAAGTTCCTTTTTTCTTTTGGCAAAACGGGCTTTATGCCAATAAACTTGCCCTCTGAAAATTAGGGTCAGAACTCCCAGTCACTTCAACGGGATCATGATATCAAAGTTAACTGACAGCGGCAGACAATTCAGCCAAGTTTGGAGCACATTACAGTCCGGTTGATATGAACGGAAGAGTTGAACAGACTCCTTGCTCTTCCCCTGAAATCAATATGACTTATAAGTGCTTAACTTTGCCTAGACTTTTGTCTAGAATTTATTGGAAAGAAAAAAGCAATTTTTTAATTAAAAATAATAATAATACTAGCATGCATTTGATGACAGAATGAAAAGAACCCCCTAGCAAAAATATAGGTAGGATTTATCTCTGGATAAACTCAATACCTGCCTATGACTAGACAAGTGCCTAACATCGCATAGGAATTGAAGGGCAAGTATTCAGAGGTGTCAAGCAATGGCCCAAAGACCACCCTTGATGAGGGAGTGGAAATCTTACTGCCCATCTCTGTAAGGAATTATAATACAGTAAGCTAGGGGGAAAAAGTGGATTATTTACCACCACAATGCAGCTGTTGGACTAACCACTGCAACATTTAGTACAGTACAGTATAAGATATTGTAATAACAGCTTGCATTCACAACAAATACTGTATGGATATTGCACATCGATGGATGTGGCATTCCCCGCCCCCCCCCAACAAGATGAGAGCATGTTAACGATATCCTATATAACTTTATATATTATATTACTTTATCTTTACATATAAATTTAAATATTAAATATCCAGTATTAAATCAAGGAAAATTGCACAAATATAGGGTCTGATCCTGAAAGTCATACACGCATACACACCCACACACATACACCCACACCCACACATACATACATACAAGCCATGATTTTTAACTGGGAGTGGGGGCAGGACTTCATTCTTCTGGTTAAAGAGTTCGCAGGGTTGAGCCATTTCTCGTTTAAAAATAACTCTCAAAGCTAACATTTCTTTTGTTATCTCGGATCTCCTCAAATAGCTGGCTGAAAGCTAAGCTATAAAAAGAACAGGATGGGGCTGTGGGGGGGGAAGCTGTTTTCAAGTTTGTTTGTCTGCTGAGATGGAGAAGCTATGAAAATATGTTGCACGGGCAAAGAAGGAAAATGCAGTCCAATGCTACTGAACAGAGAGAGAGAGAAAAGTTTGAAAGGAGACACTGTTCACTTCTTGAATGGATGACATAGGTTGAATCAGCTGGATCCCCCCCCACACACACACACAAGCATGGAGGGTACAGGATTCTCTCACTGGCTAGAGTTAATTTCTGCGCAGATTAGGGCCCAGGCGAAAAGCAGACAGCGAACCAAAGCACGTATTGCACTACTTACATTACCAGTGCTACTTTGGGATGAAAGACAGGTTGTACAACGAAAGGATCAAATCGCGTACAGGTTTATGATTGTGGCACTCCTCGCATCTGTTTATAAAAATAAACTGAAGAGCAAGTCATAGACAAGTCTCGCGGTCCACACCTTTCCCTGAGTCAGCTTTCTTCTCTTTTCGGCTTTCAGTGCTAGGTTGGGGGGGGGGGAGGAGAGAAAAAGAGGAAAAGTTTTGCTGTTGCACAGTGCCACTCATCACAATTTACTTTTTGCTTTTTTAAAATAATGGAGGGGGGGCTGGGGAAGGATCCACCACTCAAGCCATACTGTTTGCCTTAGCTTTTCATGCTGCCATGTACAGTCTAGGGAAGCGAGAGCAGAAATGCCACTGTTAGGTATGCATGTATGGTCATGAAGAAGGCCTGCCAACATCATAGATCAACAGGAAGGCAAAGTAGAGAAGAACGACAACAACAGAGATACCAAACGCAAGATTGATTGGACGTACGAATCAGTGAGCATGCAAGCAAGAGAGAGATCATGACACGGTTTAAAGGGCACCCGTTTCCTTTGCAAATGATAACCAGTCATGTGCTTTAATGCCAGCATTTTATGTTGCACAAACAAGAAGATGGGTAATCGGTTGGTTGTACTGTAATCTGCACAGTCATGAGCAAACACATGACTTGGACTGAGCTTGCCTGCAGATAGGGTTTGGAAGACATGCTTCTGAGCACCCAGTCTATGTGTCAAAATGCTAAAGAGGTGCACCATCAGCTAGTATGCACACCTTTTACTTATGCCTTCCAAAACAAAACTCAAAACACCACCCTCCTCTATCAAAAGGCTTAGGCTGCATCTTCACCTTATTTTCCTTTTAATTCATTTTCATTCAGATCATGTGGGTCTCCTTCTGCTGCTTCTCATGGGTTTGCAGAAGGCACCACTGAGTGCAACACAAGATTTCCTTGTAAGGGCAGGATGCCTGCTTTCAACAGTTCAGCTGCTCCTTCCAAGCAGCTCATATGCACTGGTCCCCTTCTCCCACAATATGGCAGCCACTTCAGAATGTTTGGGGAGAACATGTGAATAAAACCAGATGGGTGGAACCTATCACCTGGGTCTTTCTCACCCAGTCAACTTCCATGGTAAGGGAGATGACAATCAGGTGAGGAGGACCTACATGGCGGCCTCCGGATGCTATGGACTGCAGTGCCCATCAGCCACATCAAGCAAAGCCAATGGCCACGGAGTATGAGAACTGTAGTCCGCAACATGTGGCGGGCACCAGGTTGGCTATCACAGTCTGCTTTGCCAGCCTTGAATACGTGGTTGCTGTGCTAAATCTACATCCTTTCCCTCTGGCTGTCACAGGAGAACAACATTGCTATATGATAGAAAGCACTACGATCAATGCACCCTGGGGTTAACAATATCCCTCTTTCGAATCTTGAATTCATTAAAAAGGTAAAGGGACCCCTGACCATCAGGTCCAGTGGTGGCCGACTCTGGGGTTGTGGCGCTCCTCTCGCTTTATTGGCCGAGGGAACCGGCATACAGCTTCCGGGTCACGTGGCCAACATGACTAAGCTGTTTACCTTCCCTATTTATCTACCTGCACTTTGACATGCTTTCGAACTGCTAGGTTGGCAGGAGCAGGGACCGAGCAACGGGAGCTCACCCCGGCACGGGGATTCGAACCACCGACCTTCAGATCAGCAAGTCCTAGGCTCTGTGGTTTAACCCACAGCGCCACCCGTGTCCCTTTTAAATTCATTAATCAACCTTAAATTCATGGAGAACATAAACCTAACAGTGGCAGGTTTTTAAAGCCAGGTTAGAAGACCAACATTTACCCTACTGGTGGGGGCTGGAGGGCAGGGTACTGAATAAAAATGAGAAAAACCTGAGCCATAGCAAAAGTTGCACAACATTTTTGTAGCACGTCAGTGATAGTTCTGCACAATAACACATTTCACTGCGGATCTCCCAGCATCTTGGCATGCCCTATCGCAACGAACAGATCTCCCAAATGGTGGGGGTACTTCCCAGGTGGGCACCTTCTCTGGCCACTGCCAGAAAAGCCTTGCTGCTTCAGGCCAAAGGGGAGGTAAGTGAGTCCAGCATCCTGTTCTCACAGCGGCCAACCAGATACTTCTAGGAAGCCTGCAAACAGGACCCGAGTACTCTCCCCACTTCTGATTCCCAGAAACTGGTATTCAGAAGCATTCTGCCTCCAGCAGTAGAGGTAGGACACAACCACTGATCACTTTACCCCTCCTCTTTCAAAGCTGTCAGAGTAGTTGAGCCATCACTACACTTTCTCTTCTATCCGCAGCTGCAAACCATGATGGTTTGATGTATCACAGTGGGAACAATCATTATGCAGCATCTTCAGATTAACAAACCTGCCTTTTACTGATTGATGATGTTCATAAAAACATCACACAATATTCCTTGTCATTCGGAAGTAATCCTTTTCACATTTAATTGTGTATGCTTAATTCTATTCACAGCAAAGTGCTGATGTAAAGGTAAAGGTAAAGGTACCCCTGCCCGTACGGGCCAGTCTTGCCAGACTCTAGGGTTGTGCGCCCATCTCACTCAAGAGGCCGGGGGCCAGCGCTGTCCGGAGACACTTCCGGGTCACGTGGCCAGCGTGACATCGCTACTCTAGCGAGCCAGAGCCGCACACGGAAACGCAGTTTACCTTCCCGCCAGTAAGCGGTCCCTATTTATCTACTTGCACTTTGACGTGCTTTCGAACTGCTAGGTTGGCAGGCGCTGGGACCCAATGACGGGAGCGCACCCCGCCGCAGGGATTCGAACCGCCGACCTTTCGATCGGCAAGCCCTAGGCGCTGAGGCTTTAACCCACAGCGCCACCTGCGTCCCAAAAGTGCTGATGAGGAAATCCACGGGTTTAATGCACATCTCTACAAGTGCACAGACAAGTCAGGATTCGATTGGATTCTTGATTTATTTTGATTTTAGTATGACTATTTCCCAGTCATGTTGCAAACTTGGGCATGGATTTCTCACATGGACTGACACTTGTGCCACAGGACTTCTCCCCTACAGTCCGCACAGAGTTCTGCGGAGGGTCAGGAGAACCTTCAGGACAGCACACAATGGGGTCGTTCCATCTGGCAAGCTGAAACAACAGTCACCACAGCACCATGTTGAATTCCACCATAAGTCACAAAATGGTGCATATTTTACTTTTACTCTCCTCACCTATAAAATGGGTGCAGCATGCTCTTTAAAAAAACAACAGTGGAGCAGGTGTAGCTAGGCCAGTCTTTCCCAACCATGCTCCTCCCAGATGTTTTGAACTTGAAGCTTCCAAGGCCTTGCTGGCTGGGGCTGATGGGAATTGTAGTCCAAAACATACGGAAGGCACCAGGTTGGGGATTGCTGAGCTAGATTCTGCATGATCCAAAGGCTTGCAAGAAGTGTAGGGAAGGTGTTGAGAAACCCTTCTTGTTACACTAGATTTGGAAAGGGAGGCTATCTGTGTGAGGAGAGGAGGGGGGAGCCCTGTTGCACAAGTGTCAGTCCCTGTGAACGGCTTCTGTTGACAGGGAAATCCCTCCCCCAGGGGTCTTGCAAATATTGCCCCATTTCATACATTCAGCAGCCACAAGCAACATTGAAGTACTGGGCTGGAAGGTCAGCAACATCTGCATAAAAATGCAGCTGCACAGAAGTCCAGTCTGTGTAATTCTTGCCATCTTAATAATAATAATTTTAAAAAGTGATCTTGTGACAATCTTGTGAACTGAGCCTCTGCTCCGCATTGTAGAAGGGTTGTACTGTACTGGGCTATTGCAGCAGCACTCCAGCGGAACATGTGGACTGGGGAAGGGTTTATCAACTCACAGATTGAGGTTGTCAGCTCCAGATTTTGGACTGCTCTTTGGCAATATACACCCTCCACAAGCTCCTAATTCCTCCGTAACGTGACCCCCACCCTTCACTGCAGTAGGTACAGGAGGGTTTTGTCAGAGGACCCCTCGCTGGAATGTATGGACATTTGACACCAGTCCTGATTGATCATCTTGTTTATGCGGCTCAGGGAGATGAAGAACACTGCAAAAGCAACATGCCATTTTGGGGTGACAAAACGCCAGGAGTCAAACAGAGATTCTTTGTTTCAGTTAATTCGCTGGAGTTCAATAACTATGGCTAAAGCTGGCATATGTTACGAGTGCATCTGATATCTCCAGGAGATTGCTAGGGTTCTGACGTTTGCCTGAATTACAGTGTTTAGAAAAATGAATGCATTTGTGGCATCCGATCTCAGATGAACAGATAGGCATGTTTTCCAAGCGGCCTTCGAAACGTGCATTCCGTACCCTTCTAGTAAATTTTGTCTCCCCAAAATTTACACACAGTAAGTTAGAGAGGTTACCAAAAGACACCATTTAGTAGTGGGGGAAGGAATCAAGGCAGAGGTTCAGGGGCAGGGTCTTACCTTTGGGGAATCAGCTTCAAGAGAGATTAGGTAGGGGAGCTTATAGTAGAAATGTGATAATGGAACAATTAAGTAGAAAATCATGTTAATTCAAAAGGAATGGCAATTGGGGAAATAGTGGTTAAACACAGTTGCATGTATACTCAGTTAAACGTATCAAATAGAGATGTCACCATAAAAATGGCCATCTGCTTTTACAGTTTCACAATTAATTTAAGATATAAGCTAGCCAATACTTGAATGCAACTGACACAGGGGCTTAACAGTGTCCTGCTCTCCCCTCTGCTCAGTGCACAATATATGTCTACACACACACACACACCTCAGTAATCCCCAGCCAGACTTCCCTTTCGACCTGGGCTCAAACTACTAGGAAACAGCCACAGCTCAGTGGCTGCCAGTCATTGCAGACAATACTGAATTTGATGGACCAATAATCTGGCTTGATATAAAGTAGCATCCTCTGTCCCAGATTGTGATGAAAAGGGGAGAGCAAGGCTCTGTCCAGCCCTAAGCAAACCTCTGGTTCTGCAGGTAACTGCACCTGCACGGAATTAATTATGCTTTCAATAATCATTCAGTTCTTCTAAACAGTGCTACTCTGAGCAGCCAGACTTTTAGCAAGCCTCCATTTGGAAAGGGGTGTATGTGTGGCAGGAATGCAATTGTGATTTTTTTTTTTTACTGTAGCTAATGTGAGCTGAATATGTTGATTCATATTCTTACCCACAGAGTTGGAACAGAACAGCTACAGATGATCCTCAGTTTGTTATGGTTGGTATACATGATGTAAGCTATCTGAATCTCTCTTGTTTACAATAGCCTAGTTCGCCCTGAAAAGAGCGTGAAGACAAGCATGATCCAATAGGGACCTGTGTTGTCTGAGAAACTCACTTGTAGGCAAAGAACCACACCTACAGTCCCAATGCTGCAAATACAGTATAGTACAAAGCTAGGATTACAAATCATGTACAAGGCGCCTTCAACACAAGCTGCTGTACAATAATTAAGTTAAAAAGAGACAAGCTCTCTTATGGATCCAGAAAGACCAGAGCATTAGGAAAGGAACAGAACAGAGAATGCACTTGACAAGGATGTCAAAACGTCTTCTCTCTTTTTTTTACCAGGAGTGGGAAGATTGATTTACAGCCCACCGCTAGTAAAGTTTAGTTTAGTTAGTTAGCTATTAAATTTCTATCCTGCCCTTTCCCCCAAAGCTGCTTCCATATGGAGGAGGCATCTTTAAGTGATGGACATGAATATCTACCCAGGGACTGATCTGACCCCTTTGGCCATTCCTGCTAGTCCATATTCCCATGGTGATTCCTGCTGACCTAAGGAGAAAAGAAAGACCATTTTGGATGACAGGTTGGCTCTGAAAGCATCTTCAGAGACCTGGGGATTCTAGAGGCTCTGCCGGTGCAGCAGCTGAGAGCATGAACTTGTGTAACGTGTGAATCCATGCACTCTCCCTTCTGCTGTGATATTATGCTATTGGCTTCCACCTACAATCCCTGCAGCAGAATGGACTGAATGTGTTCCTAAGGTTTTCATTATCTGCCTTCAAAAATAAGTAGCTCAGCATTTTTATTTATTTTCTGCATCATCATCATAAATATTCTACAGGCAACTAATTATCACTGATCTATTATGGTATAAATATAGGATAATTTTTTAAATAATAATAATAAAAACCTTTTAGAAGGAAAGCTGGACTCCTTATCCTTGGTATTGTCTGACGATATCAACAGTGTCTTCCACACAGCTGTTTTTGACATTTCATCAGAAATATTTATTACAGATGGGTCATCTCTAGAATAGAATGAGCACACAGAGAGAGGCAACCGGAATTTATTTTCTGCAGTACTGTGCAAACAAGGAACTAAAATAAACTCACTGATCCACTTTAAAGTAGCCATAATGCAATATTTAGCCGATAATTTAGGCAATTCAGTCAATGGAGCATCAGGCTTCAAGGGAAAGGTCCATAGCTCCATGAAAAAGCATGTGGTTTGCACAGGAAGAGGTACCAGGATCAATCCCTGGCATCATACAGCTTGATTGGAAGAGACCCCTGTTTGAAACTCTATAGTTACTTACAGACCAATAAATGGTTCAACCTTGATACATTAATTTAATAGTGGCTCCAGAATGCCTGTACCCCGCTTTCTCAGTTCTCTATGCACTAATACAAAACAAACTAAGAGCTCCAGCCCAATAGAGTTTCCCTATTCATTTCAGGGGAGTAGGTAGGGCATCTATATAGATTGTAAAGCTTATATAGATTGTAAAGCTGAGGGCAGAGGTTGCCCTGGTTTTTTTGCTGTTCTGTAAAATTCTCAGGGGGCGGGCTTTCAATTGAATAAAGGCAAAAATGCTTTAAACAAATAATGTGCAACAAAATTGGTTTTGAGATAGGTGGGTGCTATTGCCAACGGCCAAAAAGGATCTTTTAAAGATACAGTGCAAACTAAGAGCCAAAACGGATGTGATGTAGACGATCTGTGATCGGTCTCTCAATGTATTTATTTTTTAATTTTAAAGCGACTGCAGACATCTTCCAAATTAGAAAAGGAGCAACAATGCTGGCAGTCCCCCCCCAATTAATATACCACTACCACCAGAAGATGCTTTTAATCCTGCTGGCACAAAAAGGGAAGTATCTGCAGTGCTATTTTTCCAGAAAGAGAATTTTGATCAGGGACAATTTTGTATCTTAGTGGTTTACCTGTAATGCGCATCTAGTGGTAACTGAACTGTGCCTTCCTCTTCCATCGCTAACATGCTTTGCTCTTCCTAGAGTGGGGGAAAACACAGTAATTTAGACAGGAACAAACACGACTCTGCTGTAATAGTTTCCACACACTTATAGATTCAGTAACAAGAAAGGAAAACAAGGTAATATCTTCTCTCTCTCTTCCGCCTCCCAAATTGTTTTACTCAAATTTTCCATAGGATGGCATCTTTCCTGTTAACTATTTTGTGAGTAAAAATCAGGGCACTCTGTTTAAAGGGCAGTACCAAAGAGGAAGCTAATTTTCATAGTGGAAAATTGTATTCTCTAGGAAGGAAGGAAGTTAGCTAGTTCCTCACGGTGAGTTCACCTGTGCACCTGAGTTACAAAGGCCTAAATGGCTTGGGATCCAAGTAATAATTTTAATAATAATAATTTTATTATTTGTACCCCACCCAGCTGACCCTATGGACAACTGGGTAGCAAAGACCCACACAGATGTGATAGTTGCGCATATACTACAACTGTGTATACAACCCCCCCAAGCTGAAAAGGGTTTCTTTACTCCTTCTCTAGAGGCTCTTAGTACAGAAGCTACATTTTCACTCCATGTTCCAAGTGCCCATTGGCAGGCAAGGGCAGTACGATGAAACTGGCCTCAGAATATTTAGAATTAAAATATGGACCAGTGGCAGAAGAGACTAGCCTACCCCACAGGCTGTTGTGAGGATGAAATGGGGAGGAAGAGAACTATGTATGTCACCTCACACACCCCTTGAAGAAAATATGGGATACAAATGCAATCAATCAACAGACTGTGAATAAATATAATTTCTTGTCTTGATGCTGACTGCTCATCACAGATGGGATTTTCCTCTCTTATGTTGAAAAGCAAGTTGCAAAATTAAAATCTTGATCCAATCCAACCAGCACCTTTAAAATATCCTGTCAGCTTCATTTCTATTTGTACAAAGAGCCCATTTCTATTTTTAAAGCCAGCATAAATGGTGACTTTCCAATTACATTCCAGAGGCGCCGCTTCATATATTTATTTATTTATTTATTTATATTCCCAGTTAATTTTGTCATTTCCAGGCTTCACAGCTTCCCAGGACTTTGACAGCTGAACAGGTTTAATAATAGCCTCAAATATTTAGCAATGCCATATTATGTAAAATAATAATAATAATAACCCATTGAAAAAGACAGCGACTGAAAATAAAAGTAGATTTTATTTATTTATATATATTTTTAAAAGGTGTGCATTCCTAGTTTTGTTTTTCTGTCGCCATTCAGGTCTAAAAAGAAAAAAAGCAAGGGATGCATAAGAAGAAATATCAGACTGAAAAGCAAAGGACTCCTGCGACGATTGCGAAAAACACACCTGTCTCCCTTGAGTCGCTTCTGCATTATGAGAGACGGAACACATCACTTGGGAGAAAGCCCTTTCTGGCTGTGCCGTGGGGGAAAGGATGCACAACCAAATCAATTTCCAGAAGGAAAAGGTGGATGGAGAGTAGAAAGAGGGCAAGTCATTACACGCTGGAAAGCCCTTATTCCCTTATTCTTGATGTCCAGGCCTGCCCTCCACTACACACAGGTTATTGGGGTCACTAATGACATAACACTCCTAGAAAGTGATTAGCTATGGGTGGTGGGTTCAGTAGTGTAGTGGAGCAGGAATGCAAGCTGGGGTGAGTTTGCTGGCTGCCTCTCCAGTACCTTTCTCCTCTCTGAGTAGCGATGATTATCATCTGGTATCTGCTAGTGTTGTAAGCCTGGGCAAGGAGGTTGGAAGACGGGTGTGGCCTGGCATATGACCCCATTTATTTGGCAGGGTAGGCCTGGTAGGCAGAATCCAATGTCTTCTGCTTGCACACTGGGATATCACCTTCCTTCTTTTCCCTTACTCCTGCAACCCCACATGAGCAGATTTTGAGGGCATGCAGGGTGAGGAGAGGAAGGTGAAGTCCTACTGAGCAATCAGAAGTCCGCTCTACTTGTGCAAGAATAGCGCAGGATACAACTCAGTCGTTTCAAAGATGTCTGCATGAGCATCTGAGCGAGGGTTAAAACTTTGCTTCTGTGGGCAAAGTTCCCACAGACACTTAGATTTCCTATATGAAAGCATTCGCATATTTCACAGAGATAATAATAATAATAATAATAATAATAATAATAATAATTTATTATTTATACCCCGCCCATTTGGCTGGGATTCCAACAAAATATTAAAATACAGTAATCATCAAACATTAAAAGCTTCCCTAAACAGGGCTGCCTTCAGATGTCTTCTAAAAGTCTGGTAGTTGTTGTTCTCTTTGATAAGCATGGGCTGTAAATTTCATGCTGTATTCATTTGATCAAGTGTGAACAGAAAGAAAGAAAGAAGAAAGAAAGAAAGAAAGAAAGAAAGAAAGAAAGAAAGAAAGAAAGAAAATTTACCTCTTTTTCAGCATCCTCCAACTTCTTTTTCTTGCTTTCTGGCATCAAATCATCCAACCAGCTGAGCTCCCGTTTCGTGAAAAATAAGTCCATGAGTTTTCTAACAAACACCAGGGCCAAGACCTGTTCAAAGATATTTATAATATGGACAGCTGTAAAAGGTATGTTTCTTAAAAGACAAAATCCCAAAGAAACAGGCCTAATCCTAAAATGGCAAAATTCGTGGGTACGAGACTAAAGTAACACCGCTAGGGTTGTCATATGTCTGGAATTTCCCAGACAGATCCGGAATACTGCAGTCGGCAGCAGCGTCTGGGCAGAAATCGGTAAAATGTCCGGGAAAATCCAGAGATATAGCAACCCATGTCAGCAGTGTCATTTTTGACGATTTCCCATAAAAATAGCTCAAAAACGTCTATTTCCTTTTTGCCAACTTTGCAAAAAAAAAAAAAAAAAAAAGCTTAACAACTTTTCTCTCCGGATTTTCACTGTTTGAAAAATTGCAATTCTTAACTCCACTGAGTTGAAAAGCAGTTTGTTTTATTTTCAATTCATGTAAAATTATGTATTGAATTAAATTTGCAGATTTTTATTTTTAATGGTCCTGACTTCTTATATTTTGCCTCATGTTCAGTGACTCATCTGGCTAAAGATGGCCTTGAATGAGAGTTGATAGTTTCAACAAAACCCAAAGGAATGAAACAATGTTTTTTTAGCAGGGGAGCCTAAGTATGGGAATATAACAACCAGCACACCAGACAATATGGTCGTCTTCTCTTTTTTCTGGTCCATTCTGTCTTTTTTCCAGCCCCATGCTCACAGAAGCAAAACAGGAAACAAAAATCATGTCCATGGCTGATAGGTCTTAAAAAAATAATTCTTGATAGTTTCTGGGCAGACTTGAGCCATTTATTTTTATGAGGTGAAAATAAAATGCCTCTGTCTAGTAGGTACAGTGCAAAGATTCCTATCTGAGCAATGGCCAAACTGTTTTTTCCTTTACATAGACAAGACTATTTTAATCTGGTAAAGGCATTGATTCAATTTGGAGGTGAACAGTAATGCTAATGTGCTTTTATCTAGATTTGCCTATTTTGAACTAGCAATTATTTAAGAGAAACTTGGCATTTGCAGTTTTTTAAAAAGCAAAAAATCCTCTTAGTTGAAGATAAGCAGGTCTGGGTCTGATCAGTGCATAGCACCGCGTTCTTATTTATCCTTATTTATCCAAAAATAAAGTGGGATAATTAAGAACCTATTGATAAATAGCTTCCAACCATCTCCACGGACTTTCTCCCCTGAAGGGCACCTTTTGACTTACAGAAAGCTTAGTTAATATCAGTTATTCAATTTTGCTTTTATGGATTGCCTGGACCTTCTAGACTCCGCAAAATGGATCCATACCATCATAGGAAAGACAATGGCAGCTCTTGAAGCCTTGATAACCCACAGCAGCACAAGACAGCTCAGCTGGATGACGGTGAAGAGATGGACTTTTCGGAGAGGGACATGCCTCAGGTAGATGAAGTCAGGCTGGTGTTTGGCAGGCATCCAGAATAACTTGATTCTGTCAAAAAGCTGAGAAAGGAAAATAAATTTGGGCGGCAGGGAAATGCAAGAGTCATTCCTCTACAGACCCTCTACGGATGAAATATTTAAAAGAGCAAGGATAACAAAGGGAATTCAGAAGGTAAAGACACAAGAAGTGCTGCTATAGCCGTCTTCAGGGCACCACATTAATTCTCTGTGTTGAGTCGCCCCATCCTCCTCTCATCACATACACTGAATATCCCCAAGGACACAAGCACAACATGAGCATCTGCAGAGGCAGCCTTTGCACATACAACTGTAGTATGAGGGCTACTGTGTGACCTAAGGGTGTTTCCGGGGCCCAGAAGCCTCCACACAAACATCTGTATGCAGGAAGGCCCCAACTCTGCAGGTGGCTGTGCTAGAGACACAAATGTTATGGGCAGGACTACTCAGCCCTAATCCTGGCTCCTGCGTTGTTGTACATGGAAGCAACAACACCTGAATTGAATAACACAACCAACACCGGCAAGAGGATGTGTGCAAGTGAACCAGCTACACAAGTGTTGTGCAACCATGATTCAGTTCCGCATTAGGCTGCTTAAGGATAGCCTGTGGTTCTAAATAGCGAGCATGATGTGTTAGTATTTGTATTATATTTGCATTGTAAATGTATTTCACAAAGAATAAATGGTATTGGGGCAGTTGGAAGTTGCTTGGTTGTTCTGTTAGTTCTGTCTTTGCGAATGTGAGAGGTGTGGGGACTTCATGCAGATGCTCTCTGGAGGATGCTGGGAGGACAGGCAAGCTATGGATTATAAGTTATGCACTGCCACAAATGAGTTTTGAAAGAAAAAAAGACTAAGCCCTCTCTTGGACTCAAGGGAGAGAAACGCATTGCATTCATTAATGTATATGTAAATAATACTTGTTCAACTGTTGCCAAACTGAGAAGTTAAATATTTGTATTCAACTATTTGTGTAAGGCATATATTTTTATCACAAATAGCTAACATGATGCACATAGGTATAAAACAGCGGCAGGCAGTCATGTAGGCAAGTGTGTACCATGGCAAGTCCAAAGTATTGTGCCACTGAAGTAGATGCTACGGTAAGTGCGCATGGCTTCATTGACCAATGCAGTAGTTTAATGAACAGCATGTGGTGTTCAGTATCGAAAAGGCAGCCCAGCAAGCAGGACAGTAAGCCTAGCTCTGTGCCAGATGCAGATGATGGCTACTGAGGGGCACGCCGCAAATTCCTGCTGCCAGTGACACTGAAAGTTGCAGGGCTCCATTTCGTATTGGTTGCACCTTTCCAATATCTCTGTGAAACTCAGCAATGTGTATAATGCAAGCAAGGGGCAAATGAAAGCCGTAACAAGAGCCGCACAAAAAATATTTCACTAACCTGAATTCCTTTTAGAGAAGAGGCACCCATGTAAAGAAATACACCATAAAGCACTGGCATAGGGATAAACTGAAAAGAGGAGAAAGAAGGTCAAAATCAAAAACTGGGTCTCACTTCACTGGCAGATAAGACAGGCAGAAAAGGCTTTCGACAAAGGCGATTGACTACCAGGGTCTTATACGGGAAGGAGTGTTTGACGGTGAATTTTCACTGCTTCATCTGCACCCAGCAGGGACTACACACATCCTGGTTTGGGAGGGGGGTGTCTTCAGACTTTGTGAACTTCAGTCCCTGTTCTTTTCCTAAATTCTTCTGTCCAAACCAACCCAGCACCAATTGCATGTTCCACATCAGTATAGTAGCAGGCATGCAACCTACTACTAAAAGCACGTATATGCAGATTTGGACATTAATCCAACACTAGCATTACCTGTGGAATATAAAAAGCTCTCCCTGACATTCCCCTTAAAAGTTGGCCTGTCCTTACCTTCAAATCAATGTAGAAGCCAGCTCACCCTGGCTTCTACACTGACAACATCAAAACAAAGTATTTGTTTGTCTCTGCATTAGATTTCCCTCAACCAGCCCCTACCTTCCTGCCATATGGTGCTCAGGGCTTGTAACAGCAATAAAAGACAAAGTAAAATGCATAATAACAATCAAAAGCATAAGAATGCCTGCTTATTACTTGACCATTAAAAAGCTGGCAGATCCTATCAGCAGGTAGACCGTTTCTGTTGTTGTTCATGTGGAGCACTAACACATCAGTCTATTAAAATGCCTTCCACTGAGTCAGACTATTAGCCTATCCAGTCCAGTATGCCCCACTCCAAAGAACAACAGCTCCCCAAATTCTCATGCAGAGCTCTTTCCCATCACCTGCAGTATGAGATCCAATTTTTCGGTTGGTTGGTTTGTTTTCGTAAACTGGGGAAGCCAAGCATTGAACCTGGGCTCCTTGGTGTGTGATCTGTGGTGTGGCCTAGATAGCTCAGTTTGTTTGAGGCTTTCTTGTATTAGACAATAAGAACCTTACCCAGCACTGCATCAAGACACATACACCCATGCATTAAAAAAACAAGAACATTTGTGCTAGAATTTAAATCCTTAGTAGTGCTATTTACTTTTCCCTTGGTTTCCCCCCAAAGCATGAGCCTACCTTTAGAATTCGGGTCAGAAAAACGGACGAGCCCATCAGGATGAATATCATGAGTCCCGTGACCCGCTGCTCACGGATGCCAAGGAATTTGGGCTGCTCTCCTGGAGCTGAGCACTCCGACTCCAGCTTCAAGCTGTTCACGTGAGAGATGGAGAGAACGGTGGCGGCAACAAACCACGGCAGGCCCATGAGGGAGCACACGCCCAGCATAAGAGCCACCATCAGCAGGTCCAGGTGATAGCCGCAGCCCTTCTGTTGAAGGCAATAAACCAAAGAAGAAGAAGAAGAAGAAGAAGAAGAAGAAGAAGAAGAAGAAGAAGAAGAAGAAGAAGAAGGGTAGTAGTTTGGATTTGATATCCTGCTTTATCAAACCCTAAGTTCCGGTTAGGGACAACACCCTCAGATCTGTCCTCTATGGATGCATTGTGTAGACCTAGGAAATAGCATGTTAAAAGCCTTTTTGCCATAGCTTGGTCATCGGCACCATAGCAGAGGAGGGACAATTATTTTTATTAGTAGTAATAGTAGTAGTAGTATAATACCACCCTGAATCCAAAGCTCCCAGGGCAATTCAAAACAGATTACACAGCACAGGACAAAAGCATCCGAGATGTATAAATGCAGGGACAAGCCATGTCCTCATAGCCACTTCAAGGAGACTGTGCCTCACAGAATGTGCAATCTGTACTTCTTTTAAACATCTGGCCTTATGCCTGCTGACTTTTCCAAAAGTCAAAAGGGGTGAAATTGCTGTTAAGTGCAAGTACGCTGCTTCCAACAGTGTCTGGGTTTAAGCTTTCCTCACATTCGCATAGAAGCCTGAGGAAAGTGACATATGGGAGAGGAAGGAGGCATGGCAACAGGTGATGATGCTACATCAGACCCGAGCAAGGGAAAAAAAATATGAATATGCAGCACAGCAAGAGGGCAGCCAGGAAGACCATCTGACTCCCACATGCCACTGCTGAAATGAAAAAAAAAGGGGGGGCACATTCTAAAGCTTGGCAGGAACTCCCTGCATCTGTCAAGTTAACCGCACAAAACACTGCGGATTGACACAAGGAGCCTGACTGACAAAGAGGGCAGGGGAGGGAGGGAGGGAAGCAACCCACGGAAGGGGAGGGGGAACCATTCACAGCAACCAAGAAGTTGCAGTGTGAAAAGGAGGCTGAAAATGCATTTGTAATGACTGTGTTGCCGTTTCCCAAAGAGTCAAAGAAGCTGAACAATCTGGGCACACACACGGACAAGCTGGTTCCTGAAACTTCTTCCAACCTTTTTTTTTTGGTCCGAAAAGTGATGAACCTTGTTTCATTCCCCCCCCCCCATGTGTTGGAAGGGTTCCACTGCAAATGTATCTTTTTGGAACCCAGCAATTCTAACTGCTCAATTGCTGCAGTTTCCCACAACGGGAGTAAAAAGGATGGAACGGACAGTTGTGTGTGTGTGGAAAGTTGGAAGACGCTAGAAAACTTTAAGCTTCGGCAAGACAGAAGGCGGGTAGGAAAACATCGAGGAAAGACTAGCACATTTATTGTGGTGTGAGCCTACAACACCAGGTGCCTTTATCGCAATTATATTGTGTTTATGAATTAGCCGCTTGTCTTTTGGCTAGTTTCCAGGCAACCAGTTAGGAAAGTTTTTATAAAGCAGGAATAGATGGGGATCTCGCTTCTATGATTATTTATTTATTTAGTGCAGGCCATCAGAACCAATCTCAGGGCAGGGCACAAAAGAAACTAAAACTCAGTCCGTCACATATAAGAAAACCACTTAACAAAAAGAAGCAGATACAATTAAGCTGTAAAGGACAACCCTTAAAGCCTAGGGTCAAAGCTATGACTTTCAGCCAGTAAGCTAATGAAAACTAATACCCTACAACAAATTACAAATGAAGAAGGCTGGAGACCAGCATTCTTTTCTTAGGAGAGCTGTTTAAAAGAGAGAATTGCTTGTGTTTCGAGTGCTAATTACACTGTTAGCGTTCATGAACAGGTCTTGCGGGTTTCAGCATTGCAAAAAATTACAAAACCTGTATGACAATGGTGGAACAGTATATCTGCGCCCCATGGGAAACAAAGCCTTCTTTAAACTTCCTTTGCATCTTTTCAAAAACCCTCATTTGCATCCAGCCTATCGCAGAAATGTGCAAGCTCGTATCTTCTGTGGATATTCTGTGGCTGGGGAAACTCAGCCACATGGGCAGGGTATAAATAATAAATTATTATTATTATTACATGCCCCAGAATGATATGGCAATACTGTCAGGTTTTTTTTATATATCTGCAGTTTCTTATGCCCTAAATTTTCAGTTGCCTGCATCATATGCCTGGGACTTCTGCAAGTTTCCTCCTAAACATTCAAGTTAACGAAGGTTCGGCATTTCCTGACATACATCAAACTGCTTGCACAGAAACACACACATTTCACATTGGACAGGGAAAAGTGTGAAAATATCTGTATTCTAAATGTATTTCTAAAACAAAAACAAAAAAACTGCATTTTTGAAGTGGGGGCGGGGGGACTTGCATTGAAGAAAATGCTGGAATGCTAACCAGAAAGATCAAAACAGCTTTTGCACTTTACCTTTAGTTTATGTTCTTTTCTGTTTATAATAACAGCTGTAATCTGCTGGTCCATAAATATCAGAATAGTACAAAGCAGAGCCGGGATTAGCGCAGCCAGCACTGTCCACCAAGGATTGGTCCCCAAAGGCGAAATGAACCAGCCACGATCATCTCTGGTAGGCTAAAAGAACAAGAGAAAATTTCAGGATGGGAGGCGGGACGGGGTTATTTCATCACTGTGGAGGCCTGCAGAATAATATCACCTACTGTAAACATTCAAAATCCAAGGCAAGATGCTGCTTTAGGAAATCAATATTTATCAAATATGATAAATGGAAGTGGCAACCCTAAAATTCCTTACAAGACAGAGGATCACACTTGTTAATGTTGCAAGAGCCCTGGAGGCCTAATGAGGAAACAATTGGGAATTGAGGAGGGGTAAAACACACATTAAACTAACCCAGGGTTTCCCAAACTTGGGTCTCCAGCGGATTTTGGACTACAATTCCCATCATCCCTAACCATTGGTCCTGCTAAACAGGGTTGCCATATGTCCTCTTTTTCCAGGCCATGTCCTCTTTTTCATGGGTACAGTCTTCATAGCAATTCATAGTTAAAAGCAGAAGTTGGCAAATGTGTCCTCTTTTTTGCTCAACAAAATATGGCAACCCTAGATGGGAGTTGGGTCTCCAGCTGCTTTTGGACTACAAGTTTGGGTAAAACTTGAACTAACCTATTCTTATTAGACCAGTCTAAATCACTTTACAGCAACGTCTTGTTCTGTTTTTGTTTTTTTAGAAATCCTTTTGAATTTCACTTTTCTGATTTATTAGTTTTCTCAGACAATACGTACCTCCACTTTTGTGTCATTATTTTGATCCATTCAGAAAGAAACAACAGCTGGTTTGTAAACATATTTGTTGCGGCAAATTTCACTTTTCACACCAAGCCAGGTACGACCGGTGTCAGGAATTACCTTGAAAGCATTGGGAACTTGGAGCTTTGGCGATGGGATCCCAAGGGCATAGTCGATTAAAACCATGGACAGGATGGTGAGAAAGACGGCAAAGTCACTCACTACAGACCGCACCTGGAAACATTGAGCCAATGGTCAGTGACAGCAGAGAGACATTTTTAATACAGACACACACATATACACTGGGGGTAGAAGATTTGCATGCACATCCCTTTATGAGCACAATAAGATATGGCGCACAGGCCAAATCTGTGCGCCCAGTTTCTTGCAGCCGAGTCATTTCATCTAGGCAAACTGCATCACTCTATGGTGTTGCCCAGCTGCTATGCTAAAATTAATCAAAGGCCTGTATTCTTTAGGACAATGCTAGTTGTTCTTTCTGGAGAGAAACCCTGGCTGAGAAATCAGTAACAAAACTCAGCCAGGTGCTGCTGATCGATAACAACACACCGAATAATTTACCGAGACTGTCTTCTAAGGAAGGAACAGGAAGCTTTCTCCTGTCTCTGTCTGCCATTTTAAAAAAATCAGTGCAGGCCCACAGAAGGGCCTGACATTTTGACATTTGGCTCCAGGGGCCAAAAAACGCCTAAAGCCAACCTGTTAATTTGGAGTAGATTTCTCCTCTGACAATCACGGTCTGTCATACACATTTACATTTCTAACCGAACTGAGTCTATTGTGCTTGATGTATTCTGCTGCAAACTGCTCCCTGTTTCAATCTAAACAAAGCGGCAAGAATCAAACCTTCTGCATATCCTCCTTCCTATATTGCAAGTATTAAAGTTCTTTTTTTGGGGAAAAAAATGCTACGACACAGTATATCAGTGCAATCTCGGTGCTGCTGGCGAGTTCAGTTTTTTTATTTCTGTTGAGGTAGACTTGTATCCTGCATTTGCAAAACAATTAAAAAATAATAATATTCAAGTTACCTTGGTCGGGAAGTATCGACTGGTTTTGAACTGCTTAAGCGTGGATGACAGTGTCACTGTAGAAAAGAATAAGATGACTGACCAGAAGAGAACATCTGGGACGTAAGGACCATGGTGTCCACAGGCGTGTCCTACAAATGCCCCTTGCCAGTCCTTACATTCCTAACATGGAAAGCAAAAGCACATTTTTATATCCTTGCAACAGATCCTATTCACAGAGAAACAAAAGACTGGTCTGCACATTCCATTATGACTACTGACCTGAAAGGCTTTCAATTTATCTGTCCAAATCCTGACACCTAAGGCAACGTCATACGTTACCTTTTTAAGGAAGGAATAAGCAAACGTGGTACCGTCCAAATATTGTTGGACTACAACTCCCATCATCCCTGGCCATTGGCCATGCTAGCTGGGCTGATGGGAGCTGCAGTCAACAACATCTGGTGGGCAACACATTGGTCACCCTGCAAGGAATATGAGCAAGATGTTTAAGCTGCGCACCTAAGAATAGCAGAACACAGCATAATCTACAGAGGTAGCTTTACCATGAAGCAATGTGGTTTCCATCTTTGCATGCCTTTTAAAAAATGGTCCACAGTAGGGAATAGCATTTGCACTATTGCCTTCAGCTGCAAAAATGTATAAGCTCAATGGGTTAATTTGTGCATGTTTGAAAACATATGTATCATGCTAGAGAACACTCCTCAGATATCCAGGAATGGTTAAACCGCTCTGCTGAGCAAATATCTGACAGAATACCAAAGTTTGCTGTTACATAGTGTCCCAACATTTCACAGGAAGCACTGTGCCGTTCCATTCTTCGTGTCTGGAAGTGCTGAAAAATGGATAAAGCTAGCATTTACATTAAAATTAAAAGCACCTCTGATTCACAGAAGCTAAGCCAAAGGCAATCAAAAACAGTAATAACAGGACCTGTCTATATTAGTAAATTCTTTGACATGAAATACACAGTTACTTATAGAGGCTGGAACATGCATGGTATGTGCACTCAAGACTTTCACACCATAATCTCAAACCATAACAATCATTGGCCTGCTTCACATGCTCAAGATGCATGGAGTCTTTCTTGGCTACTAAACTATGGTTTAGCATATGTAGATATCAGAAACCTCAAAGCTTCAGCAAGTGTTCACTAAAGACAACCTCAAATACAGATATCAATAGTTCTGTGATGTTTTCCATATCACACAGGGCCCCCAATCACAACTGTTATGGCTGCCATACATCTGGACATTTCCCATAAATATATTTTTTGGGCGTTTTTGTACACAAAACACACACCTCACTTTTATTGTCTCCTGCCCCAACCCCCAATGCTTACAATAACACAGCCTTTTTGACTGGTTCTGTTCTTTCTCTCATTATGTTATTGAATTACATTTCAATATAGTGGTCCCCCCCCCCCCGTTCAGCTGCAACTAATTGAGCATTTTAGAGGAAATTAGTTAAAAATGAAGGTTTATATGAATAACGTGCCTACTTCATGCAGGAATAGTTGGGTGTAATTCACAGATAAAATCCTGAAACCACTTTATCTAAATTAGTGCTGAGTAAATATGAGTTTGGAGATCATTGCCCAAATCTGATGTTATGTAAAACATCAGCTCAGAGGATTCAAACTACCGGTATTCCTTCTATAATGTGAAGAAACAGTTCCCTTTTGCCACAAGGTGGCAATAGACTCCACAAAATTGTTTGCATTCAGGCTGAAACAACATTGATTGCAGAGGGAGCTGCTTATGATCAAATTTGGCACCCAGAAAAAGCAAACTTTGGGGGCATGGGTCCAAAGAACTATGAATTGTGCTTCGGGCTTTTTTCCCCCAGACAGAACTTGCTGGAACTGAATTCTGGCACCCCTCAGGTGGGCACTATTGCCATCATGAGAGAACAAGGGAGGCGTTCAGGCTGAGTTCCAGCACCTCTTTTTCTAGAAAAATAGCACTGATTGCATTCCACATGGCCTCGGAAGTCTGTTCCGAAGGGAACGTGGACCTCAGGGTGAAAGAATTTTCCATTCCCTGCCTGGGTGTCTCTGCACTGAGGTTCTCCTTCTCTTCCTCTGGCTGAACTGATGGTTGGCAAGGAGGTGAAGACATTTCTCCTCTTTAGCAGGCTCCATGAGCACCTCTAATTTGGGTCCCTTTCCACACATGCAAGTGGAATGCATGGGATTCCCTGCCACAGAACATTCATGTAAGGATTTTCATTCCATGCTCTGAGGGCACACGAATAAATGAATACGTACTAGATTGGGCCAGTGTGAACCTTAACACCAAGCGGTTGACTAGTCAATGACAAACAAACCATCTAGAGGGCTTTGTTTTTGTATGTTTCAACCTCAATTTTTTTCTGTCAGTCTTGGGCTTTAAAGGTTAGAGGACGCCAAATCTGTTATGATTACAAAAGCTTTTCAGGAGCTTCTCTTGTAAGCCTGTTGTTTTCCCAATGAGAGGGGAAAAACAAGCCCATATTTAAAACTGCAACTGCAAGTTTTAATCAATATAATAGGTATACTGACCAACGAAAGCTTGAGGGCAATTTTTTATCCATTGGTCTGAGGCTGAGGGACACAATTTGACATGAGGTCTGCAGGGAAGGCCCTTCTAAATAAAGCCTGGGTTACTGGAAATTCTTGGTGGTAGCACCAGTTGTGGAATAATCTTCCCTCTGAGGTGGGCAGCTGCCAGCAATGGCTAGCTTTCAGGACCTTTTCCACCAGGCCGGCCTTTTGTTGAGGGAAGATATATACACAAAGCTAGAACTTGAATTTTAGGTGTTTTGATGTTTTTTATGACAGCTTCATACAATTTTACATGTGACTTGCCCTGCGATCCTTTTTTGAGGAGGTGAGATATGATTTTTTTACATATAAAACAAGAACGGTATTTATTATTATTTTTTAACATTTCTTTGGGAAGCTGTTTTGGCTCCAGCATTGCTCCAAATAATGATTATGGTGATTATGTTTCCTTTGTATATCATGTTACAAGATTCCCATTTTTTAAGCATCCCTAACACAAAATAGGCTATTTATATCCTAGCTAGATTTGCTACTGAATTTTGCATAATGTGAAATTCTAAGGTATTGGGTGTTTGTTTTTTTGGGTTTTTTTTGCTAAGATGACACTTCTGGGGAACCTCAAGGGAAATCAACAGAAAATTTCTCAGCAGAACCCTCCCTTTCTTCGCTGTCATTCATCTGAAGTTACATTAATGCAGGTTAAGTCACACCAATATGTGCGGTAGGTGTGGAGAATCATAGAATCATAGAATCATAGAGTTGGAAGAGACCACAAGGGCCATCAAGTCCAACCCCCTGCCAAGCAGGAAACACCATCAGAGCACTCCTGACATATGGTTGTCAAGCCTCTGCTTAAAGACCTCCAAAGAAGGAGACTCCACCACACTCCTTGGCAGCAAATTCCACTGTCAAACAGCTCTTACTGTCAGGAAGTTCTTCCTAATGTTTAGGTGGAATCTTCTTTCTTGTAGTTTGGATCCATTGCTCCGTGTCCGCTTCTCTGGAGCAGCAGAAAACAGCCTTTCTCCCTCCTCTATCTGGGATAGAGCTAAAGACTAAACTGGGAGCTAAAGACTAAACTCTCCAAACAGTCAAAGAAACTGATAAGAGTGGAACCTTCGTGGACACCGAATTTTGCCTAGAATGAAGTTTCAAGGCAAGTGTGGAGAGCACAAGGAATTTCAATGAGGCAAGCAAGAATTCCCCATGGGGATTCCTCACATCGTTAATCCTGACATCTCAGATTATCTATAGTATCGCAAGGATTATTCATTTATTATTTTGCATTTAAACTTCAGATAAGCGAAAAGGCAGCCAGGTAATAACATAGCAAAGTTGGGACTCCAACCCCGATACTGGGGGCGGGGGGCGGGGAATGGAAAAATATGTGACCCACTTGCAAATGAGAACAATAATAATTGCATATTAACACTGGGACTTTTTCACGCTCACAAGAGCCACCCATTTCTGCGAAGAAGACAGAGTGTGAGACGGCACTTCATGGATCTCAGCTACAGCCGCTTTTGCAGTCTCTGAGGTACTTTTGGAAGTGCGGCAAGTTGCCACAGCTCAGATCCATCTGCTACTGACTTGCAAGTTACAGTCCTCATGGGAACTTCCATGGGCAAAAGAAAGTGTTCCAAACATATGAAGGCAAGTGTCTCTGGATATGCAATTCCTAAGCAGAAAATAAACCCCATTATGAGCAACCCAATCCCAAAGCTCCGCAGTGGTGTAGAAGTGGCACTTGTCATTGTCTGCTTGACAAGTGCAACGCCGCCGCCGCCAGCAAGCACTGTTGGGAACTCATGGGGCAGGAACCAGCCAAACAGAGCTGGATGTATCCTGTGGCCATGGAAGAAGAAGAAGAGTTTGGATTTGATATCCCGCTTTATCACTACCCGAAGGAGTCTCAAAGTGGCTAACATTCTCCTTTCCCTTCCTCCCCCACAACAAACACTCTGTGAGGTGAGTGGGGCTGAGAGACTTCAGAGAAGTGTGACTAGCCCAAGGTCACCCAGCAGCTGCATGTGGAGGAGCGGAGACGCGAACGCAGTTCACCAGATTACGAGTCCACTGCTCTTAACCACTGCACCACACTGGCTCCTGCCTCTGCAACCGGTCCATGCTTTCATCTGTATCTGTGTTGGAGTTATAGAACAGTGTTTCCCAAACTTATATAGATCAGTGTTTCCCAAACTTGGGTCTCCAGCTGTTTTGGACTACAACTCCCATCATCCCTAAGCTAGTGGGACCAGTGGGCAGGGATGAGGAGGATTGTCATCCAAAAATTGCTTGAGACCCAAGATTGGGAAACCCTGTTACAGGTAGTTGTCACCACAAAGGGATCCCGAGCATTGAGCAGGATGAGTGATGCTAGTGAGGGATTCTTTAAATATAATAGCCTCTATCCCTTCAGCCACAGATTCATTATTTGCAGTGGGGAAACAGTGAATTGGAAGGAAAGCTGACATGTTCTAAGACAGGGGTCAGCAAACTTTTTCAGGTCCCTCAGACCTTGTGGGGGGCCAGACTATATGGGGGGGTGAATGAATTCCTATGCCCCACAAATAACCCAGAGATGCATTTTAAATAAAAGGACACATTCTACTCATGTAAAAACACACTGATTCCCAGACCATCCACGGGCCGGATTTAGAAGGCGAGTGGGCCAGATCCAGCCCCCAGGCCTTAGTTTGCCTACCCATGCCCTAAGAGGTCTTTGCATAACCTGAAGATCATTTTTAAGAAACACAAGGTTAAGAGGCGCTACATTAAGGTAAAGGTAAAGGTACCCCTGCCCGTACGGGCCAGTCTTGACAGACTCTAGGGTTGTGCGCCCATCTCACTCAAGAGGCCGGGGGCCAGCGCTGTCCGCAGACACTTCCGGGTCACGTGGCCAGCGTGACAAGCTGCATCTGGCGAGCCAGCGCAGCACACAGAACGCCATTTACCTTCCCGCTGGTAAGCGGTCCCTATTTATCTACTTGCACCCGGGGGTGCTTTCGAACTGCTAGGTTGGCAGGCGCTGGGACCAAGCAATGGGAGCGCACCCCGCCGCGGGGATTCGAACCGCCGACCTTGTGATCGGCAAGTCCTAGGCACTGAGGTTTTACCCACAGCGCCACCCGCGTCCCTTAAATGGCAAATTATATAGTAGTAAATAATAAGCATATAATTAGTAAACTCGATAAAATAATAAACCCAGGGTCTGCAACCTGTAAAAAGTGGACTGCATGTCAAACAGGAGCTTAAACAATCAAAAACTGCACTGGGCATCAAACTACAGCTAGTGACCCACTAGGTTTTCAGATGGAAGTCTTCGCCAGGTCTTTCTGTATGTGCTCCATTACTGAGCTGCCAGTCAGATGAGTCAGTACTGAGTTCAGGAGAAGGCAGCTTCCTATGCCTACTCAGGATCATTTAACAGAAAATGCCTTAACTGTTATGCAGTCCTGGGCATGTTCCCTTGCTATCATAGAACTGCAGAGATGGAAGGGAGCCTGAGGATCATCTGGTCCAAACCCCTGCAATGCAGGAATATGCGTCTTTCCCATACAGGGATTGAACCTGCAACCTTGGCGTTATCAGCACCACACTTTAACCAACTGAGCTATCCATATCCATATAAAACTTAATTGCAGGCCATGGAGATTTTCCATGAGCTAGGGAATAAGTAGACCACGCTTCCTGTTACCCAGGTCACAATCTACACATCTGACAATAAAGGAACGTACAGAAAGGATGTTTGCAAACCTTCCATTTTAACTCTTTTGCTATAGATGAACATCTGGAGTGTTATTTGGGGAGAAATATAGAGCTTACATGTCCCTTTTTTCACATCGCAGCTTCAGATTTACCATCTGGTAGAATTTAGGTCAAATCTGCTGCTATTTGATGAATGCGGGCTTAATCTTAGTAATGCTCCCTGTCGCTACACAAAGTTTCTCAGAATAGTGCACACTGGCATTGGTGCTTTTTTAAAAAACAAAAAACTGAACAATGACAATAGGGAATAGTCACCACTGAAAAGTTTAGTTAAATGGAAAAGTTTGTGACTTTTAGCCTCTAAGATATTCCTTAAATATGCCATATTTGTAATTGCAATTCATGGACAGAGAGGTTGCTACACATTTTCATTAACTGTTAAAACCTTTGCAGATGACACTGCAAACACATGCGTGGGCTGGGTTCGTGTACGCTACCCCTGCATGGATGGCCCATACAGCATGCAGACTTTCCAATCACATGGATGGCCCCCTACATCGTAAGAGGAGCCCTGCTGGATCAGACCAAAAGCTCACGCAGTCTAGAATCCTATCTCCACAGTGGTTAACCAGATGTCTAGGGAAGTCTACATGCAGGGCATGTCCCATACATGATCCTCAGCAACTGGTATTCAGAAGCATGCTGCCTCGGTACGAGAGGTAATAGCTATATAAAGCCATTGATTGTCCTTTGCATATAATCTTCAGTTATTACAAAAGTGGCAAGACTGGGGTACAACACCTGATCCCCCCCCATCTCTGACACCCTGCCAACCTACATTCGACAGGCCACACCTTTACGGTCAGAGTAAAGTTCATCTGTGATGTGTTTCAGTGGTACACTTACTGACACAGTTAGGTTTCCCCAAGGTATGTCTGACGAAGACATGTTTTTGGACTGCCAGTATTGCAAAGTATTATTGCTGGGGTTGTCTGGTTCCATACAGCTGCATCTGAAAGAGGGGGGAAAGGGAAAAATCCTGATCATTTATAATCTTAAAACTGGCAAGTTGCATCATCGGAATTCCTTAGGAAGTCTGGGACGAGAACATACAAGATAAATGTGAAGGAAGCCCAGTCCTTGGGAATGCCTCTGTACCTTTCAGAGTTGAACACTGAATTACACCATGTACAGCTCTCCACACCACCATGATTCCTGAGCAGGTGGATCTCCTTTCCATGAAATACCATGGATCGTATAAGGAGCCGTCTCTCTGAGTTTTGACCTCGCAACCCTAGACTGATGCATGCTTTTAGATTGCAAAGTGTCCTGAGTCTGAGCAACGTTAAGCTGATGGGCATTCGCTGACTACTGCCACACTCTGAAGGAGGACGTTAAATCTATGGGGTTTGGTCTTCCACAGCCTCTGAAAGTGAAGAAAGCCCTCTCAAATACAGCAAATCCAAAATGCACTTTTGGGGCATGGGTATCAAGACTTGCTCTCGAGTCCAGTCTATTTTGTCTCTCTAGTAGCCTATTCTCTGACTGGCAGTAGCCAGGTGTTAGTCAGAAAAGCCTCTTTCCCAGAATAATAATCTCTGATCCTTTTAACTGCAGATAAAAAGTGTGCATTATCAACATCTGAGGGACATGTGGCAAATGCTAAAAGGAAAGTATGGGGTTTAAAGAAAAATGAATACCACAGAAATTGGATCTATAAATGGGAAATATGGAAACTGTACAAGCAGGGTGAGCCCAATAAAGAAATCTTTCGCCAAAGACAGAAAAACCAAATGTTCCGCCTACAACAATATCTGACAATTGCCGCCGCTCAGCAGTATTCTAATTCCTCCACCAGAGGCAGCCATGCCATTCTATGTATAAGGAACATAGTATAGTAAATATTAAAAACTAAACTACACCTCAAAAATACCCACTGAATATTGTAATATTCTTTGGTGAGAGTTGACCATTTTGCTATAATTTGGGGTGGAGGGTGGCTTACCATTCCATAAAAGGTGGCTCAGGTTTTGTTAAATCCTTTAAATGATGTGGAGGTAGAATTGCCTGAGCAACCTACTGGTTTCCATTTCATCATTATTATTATTATTATTATTATTATTATTATTATTATTATTGTGGTGTATGTTGCTTGGAGGCCTTTGGGTAGCAAGTAATTAACATTTCAAATAAGAAGAACCATAACAGTAATAATCAGTGCTTTTTTCCTAAAAAAAAATATGTTTAGGAGTACTCTCATTTTCCTACTCATATTGAAATACTGCCCCTCAATGAGGCCAAACTTAGATTCACAAAATGTTTAGGGGTATGCGTACCCCTGCATCCCCCCAGAAAAAAAGGACTGGTAATAATAGCATTACTTTTATTATCATTATTATTTATTCTACTTGTCAATCACTTGTTACTCTAAGGTCTCCAAGCCACATGCAACACATTTATAACCATACACATAAATACACTTACCATTTAAAAAGATCATACGAAACATATACAATGGGATGCCCCAGTGGAAACAATGCAATAGCGTAATATCATTCCCAGGGATGCACTTTGGGCAACGGAAATATGGCTACCCCTAATTCCCAATGGAACGATCAATTCTCCTCAAACATTTCTGTATATCTCCCACCCTTTTCTTGAGGAAGAATTGGTCCCATGGAGGAAGAAATTCAGCTCAGCTTTATTTTTTAAAAAAATCCCACTTCTTTAGGCCATGTTGCACAGCAAAACAATTATTTTATTATTTTCCTGCTCCACAGTGGCTTCGAAAGCTTTTGAACTGTTAGCTAAACGTAGGAATGGCAGAAAAGGCTCTGTGTGGGTGTCCAAATGTTCCAAACACCAATTTAAATTAAAGCCTAAAAAGTAACTGTAGGAGGTTTGTTATTTTTCAAGGATCTGAGGAGGGAGCCTATTATTTTGTAATAGATAAAAAAAACAAGGAGGGAGCTGAAGTACCGTATTTTTTGCCCTATAGGATGCACTTTTTCCCCTCTAAAAATGAAGGGGAAATGTGTGTGCGTCCTATGGGGCGAATGCAGGCTTTCGCTGAAGCCTGGAGAGGGAGAGGGGTCGGTGCGCACCGACCCCTCTTGCTCTCCAGGCTTCAGGAAGCTATCCGCAAGCCTTGCAAGCCCGGTGGGAGGTCCCGCGGGCTCGCAAGGCTTGCGGGCAGCAGCCTGCAGCCCACAAGCTTTGGGGACAGCGGGGAGGCGCAGCGCCGCCACCCCGCTATTCCCGGACCTGATCTGGAGGCTGGCGGGGGGGGGAGAGAGAGAAGCAAGCTTGCTTCTCCCCATCGCCAGCCCCACAAGCTCGGGGGACAGCGGGGCAAGCCGCTGCCCCACAGAGGCTAGGGAGGCTGTCCCTGAAGGCAGAAGAGGGAGATGGAGCGCTCTGTCTCCCTCTTCTAGGTTGGGGATGGCTGTGCAAACCTGGGGGGGATAATTCCCCCCCCTTTATTTCCCCCCAAAAAACTAGGTGCGTCCTATGGGCCGCTGCGTCCTATAGGGCGAAAAATACGGTACCTCTTGGAGAGTTACAGTGCCACAAGACATAAGAGCCATAGTATTACAAACCCATAGGCACACAAAGACAGACATCCACACACAAGCTCAAGCTGTATGTGGAGATCTTTCAGGTTAAGCCTGAGGGTAGGATACATCTCATTTTTCTAATTAACCACTGTTGCATTTCTCATAACTGTTAATTGGGTGTTCTGTCACACACACTCACACACACACACACACACACACGTGTACACATGTACACACACACACACACACACACACACACACACAAAGAATGTGGAATATGGCTTCTGCCCATGCTCCTTCCAGACGGATGTGTTTGGCTGGCCACACTACCCAGGGGCTGTGTGTTTGGTATTCATACAACTGTGGGCATGCAGGGCTTCTCTACCTTTGCAGAACGCTGACTGGCAAGGGTTCCCACCTGGGAAGAGGAGCTATATGTGCATTGCAGCCCCTTTCCTCATCAATGCTGAATCCTGATTGACAGGGGAGACACAGACAGCTAGTGTCCTCTTGCTAGCCCCTCGTACATCCAATGAATTCATGAAGGGGCTTGTGTGGACCCTACGCTTAGGGTATTTGCATATGACTGCAATTGGTCCATAGGCCAAACTAAGGAGGACTGTGATGTACTCTTAATAACGGAGTGTCAAAGACATTGCTAGGCAACAGTACGACGGTGCACAGATTTCTGGGTAATTTCCGTGTGGCATGTCAAAACCCAACTTGCCACAAGCTTACTCGGTGCGTATGTCCTGATTGGCCCCAGAAAGGCCACTGGGCTGACCTTGGACAACATCCAATCAGTGTGATATAAGGGTAATGGAAAATGTAGAGAGAAGTTTGAACTTAGGTTGTACATGAATGTACAATGAATGCAAGGCTAAGAGGTTAATGCCAAGCTTGGAATTTTCAAGAAAGGCAGGTGAGAGCACCAGTGGACACTATCCACTGAACACAGCATACTTTCCATTCATTTCAATGGTCCTAGATGCCACAAAAACCTGGTGGAAATATTGGATGAGCAACAGCAGCAGCATTGTTTGGCTGGCTGAATCCACTGACGTCATTCAGGCTGAACACATGTCAGAATGACATGAACTTGGCACCTTAAATACCTCTGAGAGTGGGATGTTATGCTCCCAGTTCTTAAATACATGTCATGGACAGATTGTAATATGCATATCACTATGCCAGAAGTGCTTAAAATTATTCAGCATAATCTGTTAATAATTGAGAGGCTTCTGGTAAAGAATTCTTCTTTGTTGTTGTTAGAAAACACAGATTCACCATTCACAAAGTACAAAAAAGGTTAGGCGGGGGGGTGTTTGTTTATTTTTAAAGTGGGCAGGTCGTGAACTAATACCTGGACTTGAAATATTGAGCAGAGACCATTTACTTTCATCACAAAAAAAGCTGGCAGCATTTAAAATGATTTCACAATCCTGCTTTCCATGGAGTAAAGAGCCAGCACATTTAACTTTCATTTGCTGCTTTAGATCTCATCAGCATTTATACCTCAAATGACAGAAGATGCAGTTTCGGCAAGGAAATATATCCCATGGTTCAAGGCCTAAATATTTTAGCCTAGTATGTTTCCAGCTATGCTATTAACCCTATTAATGGGGTTTCAGTGTCTCCTCCAAACTAATAGCCTGGACTGAACACCACGTTAAACCATAGTTACAATAAACCATAGTTAGAATAAGCTATGCTTTAATGTGAACAAGCAGCATGCTGCTGCACACTGACGAAATTCTGGGTGTTTTGCTCCTCTCCCACTTCTGCTGTTGCCTCATTGCAGGCAACAAGCCATGGTCTGGTTTGTTGCGTCACCCAAACACAGGCCCCTCAAAAGCCACAGAGGCCATGCAAGAACAAACCTTGTTTTCCACTTACGTTTTGTTAGGAGAGAAACAAACCATGAATCCAGGTTCAGATGACATGGCAAATAAGACCATGGTTTGTTTCCTGGGACTGCAGCAGGAAAGCGCCTACCATTTCAGCAGCGTGCACCAGGAAACTGCATGTTCTCATGAAACCAAAGTTGATTTCAACTATGGTTTAATGTGATGTGTGAACTATGTCACAGTAACAAATGAAGCAAAGAATTGGGGAGGCAAAAAGGGGGTTGCCACAAGAACCTATTTAACAGACAAGGACGAGACAGGAAGGAAAAAAATCATCACACTGAGGTAGGCCAAAAGGCTTTTTTTTTAAAAAAAAATTAGTTGTCAAGCAGAGTAAATGTTTATGTAGACTAGTTGCATCTAGCTGGCACTGCTATTGCGCCACTTAAAAACAATATTCCCCATTGAAAGCACAGCACAAGAACTGTGAGACTAAACCCCAGTATGTTCTTCTACTACTCCAAGAGCTTGCCTAGGTGCAAAGACTGAACTTTTCCATGTTGGCTCTTGGCTCTTAAGAAATACATCGTGTGTGGCGAGAAATAAGG